ACACACACACACACACACACACTCAAGCACGCACGCGCACACACAAACACACACTCACGCACACGCGCACACAAACACACACACTCACGCACGCACACACACACACACAAACACACACACTCACGCGCACACACACACACACTCACACACACACACACACACACATAAACACACAGACAAACACTCACTCACTCACTCACTCACATGCACACACACGCACACACACTCACTCACTCACACCCTCCCTCACACACACACTCACGCGACCACACACACACACATAAACCAAAACGATAAAAGCACACTACTAAAAAATAATAATAATCTAAACTGAAATGAAAATTCAAAATATGGAAAACTAAATAAAAATGTATCTAGTTTTATTTCTAAACTAAAATAGAAAAGAAAGTAAACCTAAATAGTAATTAAATAAATAAAATACAAGTGGCAAAAGCTCATTACTAAAAATTACTCAAAATAAATTAAAATTGAATTGAAAACTCAAAATATCAAATAAAAACTAAAATAAAAATTGCTTTATTTCTAAACTAAAACTGAAATGAAAATAAATTAAACCCAAATTGTAAATAACCGTAAATAAACAAAATTAAAAATGGCAAAATCACACAACAAAATTACTAAAATTATACTTAAACTTAAAATACAAAATGTAAAACTGAAATGAAAATAAAACTATTTTTATTTCCAAACTAAAACTAATTTAATTTTACCTAATGAAAACTAATAATAAAAATGGCATAAGTACATTATGTTATATTATAAGTACATTATTTAGTAACAAAACTACAAGTACATTTTAAATACATTTAAATGAAAACTGACATAAATTAACATGTCAATAAATAAATAAAGTCTACATGAAATTAAATAATAAATGTATATCTTAAATCAAGGCTCTTAAATATCCAATATTAGTCAATATTGTGTATTTCAGTTTCTTCTTGTAAAATTTTTTATTAAAAACAAAAATATTTACATTTTTAATCTCACTCAACATCAATGGAGAATTAATCTGTTATAAATAACCATTTAGAGATGTCTAAGTAAGTAAGTAAAAGAATAAATAAATACAGTCTACAAAGAAATAAACCATACATTTATATCTTAACAAACAGAGGCTCTTATTTTCTCAGTGTGACGTATTTCCAAGTGAAATGGAATATTTAAAAATCAAACGATGTGAGGCAGAATT